GATTGCACACCATTGTGAATGGCATTAATACCACTTCAATTAATACACTGCAAAAAGGGTTAAAATGGCAAGTTTTATGTTATATCCATATTACCACAAAAACCCCATGTATTGTGAAGAAGGTAACCAATGTCAATGAATACCATGTGTAGAAATTGCTGAATGAGAACTAAAACTGTTGGGTAAAGCTTTACCAAAACTACAGTAAAATATCATTTTAAAAATATAATAAGAGCTAGGAGCTCTGGTAGCATAGTGGCTAAAGCACTTGACTGCTAACCAGAAGGCTGGCGGTTCAAACCCACCAGCCACTCCTCGGAAGGAAGGTTGGGCAATCCTGCTTCCGTAGTGATACTGCCTTGGAAACCCAAGGAGGGGTCGCTATGAGTTGGGGCCGACTCGACGGCACATAACAACAACAACAACAACATGTGTATTTTAGAGTTTCTAGCAGCCATGTATTTAAAAGGTGAAAAGAAGCAGGTGAAATTAATTTAAGCCATTCTTTATTTTATCGTGTAGACACAAAATGTTATCATTTAAATTTGTCATCAATAACAAGTGTATTGAGATGTTTTACATTCTTATCGTCACACTCAGTCTCTGCAGTTGGCCTCTTTTACATCTTATAACACGTCTCAACTCGGACTAGACATGTTTCAAGGGCTCACTATCCACGTGTGGCCGGCGGCCACCATATTGGACAGTGTTGATCGAAAGCCTCATTTGCAAGAATCTCTCTCATGTTTGCCAACACCCACGTCTCCCACGCAAACATCGGCTGCTCAGCTGCAGACCTGTGTGTGTCCTCGCAACATCCCCACGGCTCATCTGCAGCCACGCCTGCATCTCCTCTGCCCCGTCTCTCACATCACCTGGGAGCATGGCCACAGCTCTCAGGCCAAGGCCTCAATCTCATCGAAGACCGCTGCAGAGAAAGCACTTGCTCAAGGAACAGGTGTTGATTCCCACTCTTGATTTGATCTGCAAATCCCACCCTCTTCTGTGCATAAATTCATTAAAATTCATTGAAAGCAACTGGCAGGACCTCAGATGGTCATCTCAAAGTCAGGGAGGCGTGTGGCCAGGCAGGAGGCCCCCAGGTCTTCCTCCTGATTCCTCTGGGGCTCCCAGTGCTGCTCCTCTTCGTCCCCCTCCTCCTCGTCCAGGATGGAAGCCAGTTCCTCTCGCAGCAGCCCCATCTCCAGCGCCAGGCTGCACAGCTGGCCCAGCAGCTGCACATCCACTTGACGGAGGTTCCCCTGTCAGTGGGAAGGGGGAGGCGTGAGCATTCCACAGTGCTTGGCAAGGGTGGCGTGCTGACCTGGGACCTGGGGGGCGCAGCTCTGGGGCGGGGTAATCACTGTGTCTTTGGACCTTGGACCTTGATCAGGCAGCCTGCTTCCGATGGTCTCCCTTGATCTGTCTCGTTTTCAGCATCTCTCGCTGTCTCCACCTCTCTCACTCTCTCTTTCTCTTTGAGTCTTGGTCTTTTTTGTCTCTATGTCTCCTTCCCTTGTTACTCATATCTGTCTCTGCCTCTGTCTCTGTCCCAGTGTGTCTCTATGTCTTTCAGTGTCCTGTCTCTGTCTCTCCATTTCTCTACTCCAGATCTCTGTCTCTCACACTTAGTCTCTCTGCCTCTGTTCTTGCTCTTGATCTCTGTTTTCCATCTGTTTCTTTCCTGGTCTTTCTGTCTCTATCCCTGTCCTTGGGTCTCTCTCTGTCTCCATCCCTCTGTCTTCAGCTCATTCCCTCTCTGTGTCTCTGTTTCTCTCTGCTCCCGACTCTATCTATATTCCTAACTTTTGATCTCTGTCACTGGCACTTTCTAATTTGGACTGTCTGTCT